TGCTCCTCTGTCCATACACTCATCTCTGCCAGGAGCTCAAATTGTGCTCTATATGTTTCCCACGGTGTCTTCCCATCGAATTCCTGTGGCTTCCTTCGTACTAGATCTCCCCTATTGCTAACATTCATATCTGGGATGTGACTTCTAACAGAACTCAAGATATCTGCATTAGGGTTTAGCTGCAGGGTCTGGAAGGGGCTTGCCATTGTCTGGGCCTGATTAAGTCGATGGTTAATGTTTCCACCTTGTGTAAAAGACAATAAATCATCCTTTAATGTATTTAATTCATTATGAAATTTGCTAATGTTTTCCATTTGTACTTCTTGCCACTGTTGTTGACTTTCCTGTAGTTCCTGCTGACTTTCCTGCAACTGTTGGATACTTTCTTCCTGTTTCCCTTCTTGTTTCTTTTTTTTTCCACCAACAACTGCCATAATTTCTCTTGTTGTTTATTTTCTTTCTCCTCCAACCTCTGCTGTAGTCTCTCTTCTTGTTTCTTTTATTTTTCCTCCAACAACTGCTGTAATCTCTCTTGTTTATTTTGCTGTTCGGGCTGCCATTGTTGCAGGTTTTCTTGCCACTGCTGTAATCTCTCTTCTTGTTTCTTTTCTTGTTCTTCTTGTTTTTTTTCTCATTCTTCTTGTTTCTTTTGCTGTTCTTGTATGGCTGCCATCAAATCTGCTAAGCTGTAGTTTGATTTGCCACTTCTCGTTTCCATTTTTTTTCTTTTCCATCCCACTCTCTGACACCAATTTGTTAAGTCTCTGGTCGTTTGTTAATTTCCCGTATCATTTCTTTCGGATGAAACTTTAGCGATACAAGTTCTTTCTTAAATAAAACTAGTTTATTCTTTCTCAATACAACTTTGCAATATACTTAATTTTCATAGTCACTTTAACTTAAACATACGCTATAATTCACAACGAACGATTCAAGCACTTTAATTACTACCTCGCTTGACTCAATTGTCCATCTCTATCTGTCTGCAATTATCTATATATATCTATGCCGTCACTTTTCACCGGTCTTACAATATATGAAATAGAGGGCGCGTAGAAAAGACTAGAGTTGCCACGAACAGACAAGATCTTTCTAGAATCCCATGATGTGTTACCAGCATCACGTGACTTCCGCTGTCGTAACAATATATATCTTATATGTTACTGATTATTAAACTTAAGAATGCATAGGTCTTATAAATCTGAGTCCAAGGAATCATCAGTGAAGTGTTTAGAAAATTTTGCAAAATAAAAAGCTGTTTTAGTTTATGCATTACACTTGCCCTCAATATTCGAATGTTAGGCATAAGAAGTTCATTTTGGATGGACATAATAAACTACACTACAAATATTTAGTAGGCCTCCTATATGACAATACTGATCAGGCATAGTCCTGCCAGTTTTTTTTAGATTGTCAACTGGTACTTCTTTCTATTTATGCTGTACAAATATGTTGTAGATTAGTTAGTCTCACTCCTGCAACATTACTTTTCAACACGATGCCACAAATTTTCAAATGGATTAACATCTCATAATTTTTAAATCACCAAATCATTTCTTTTCTTCCAAATATCTCATATCTAATAAGGCAACTGCTTTCAAACAGGTCTATTGTTGATTCTAATTCCATGCAAACTTTGTATTTGGCATTTATTGCTGGTGATATTTTGAATCAACTTTGGTAATGAAATTCTTCAAACAGCATTGTTATTCCACCTAAATATTTTTTAATTTTCTTATTAGACTATAAACTATTCATTGCAGTAAAACTGAAAAACTAGTTGAAATGCACCCTTCGAAACACAGTTTTTAGAAATATACCACAGTTTTTTCCCATAATGAAAAACAGTAATTTGTGCTTGTGTTTTCACTGTTTATTACTAAATTATTTTTTAATTATTAGCCATTACAACTAAAAAAGTCTTTGAATGACACTTTGCTGGTGAACTAAAGAAAGAGAATGCCAGTAATGAATTCAAATTTGATGAAGAGGAATCCACTTTGAGACTAATAATTTTTACGACAACGAAAGTCATGCAACAATGGCAGCATGCGCGCTGGAGTTTCTAGAAGGATCATGACTTATCGAGAAACCTCACGAATGTCCGAGTGTTTGCCAGGTGCTCTCTTTTTTAGTATATAAGCCTGGCAAGAAAAACCAACGATAGAAGAGATATAGACAGATTGAAGAGATAGATAATTGAGTCAAGCGAACAGTAGGCACCATAAGTAAAGTTTGTGAATCACTGCAATTTATAGCGTGTGTTATAAAAGTTGTTAAGTGTATTACAAAATTGTATCAAGAAAGAATAAAATAGTTTTAATTAAGAAAGGAATAGTATCGCTGAAGTTCCTCAGAAAGAATTTATACCGGAAATTATCAAACGAGCAGAGACGTAACATAATGCTTGGAGATGGCTTGAATGGGTAATGAAGAAAAACTTTAATATAAGTTTAACATAACAGCAAATGTACAACGTTGCAACAAGGTTTTGTCATCATCAGGTACAAGTAGTTTACACTGACACAGATATATATAATATATACAGTATTGAACAAAGAAGTCACCTGACTGGTTACTGTTGCCAAACTTAAAAGATGTATCTTGGCACCCCAGGGTGTTGGTTTAGAGTAGGGTTGTTTTGTTCAATTAAGATGGATTCCTTAATTTTTCG